GAGGAAAGTACAGTGGCCTGTTGAATAATCAGTAGCACAACAAGCCACAGTATGAGTGTCAGCAAGTTGCAGCACATTTCCAGTGAAGTGCTGTAGCTACGGTCTGGTGTGAGCGACATTATCAAGGGTACTGTACAGTAAGAAGTTTTGGGCTGTCACTTGGCAAGAATGAGAGACAACAGATGGACAAAGTATATTACTGAAATGGTAAGAGTAGACGGAATCAGTAGATGGAAAGACTCGCTTGAACACATCTGCAAGTCAGCAAGTTGCAGCACATTTTCAGTGAAGTACTATAGATGTGGTCTGGTGTAAGCGACATTATTAAAGGACTGTGCACTAAGAAGTGTTGGGCTGGTCATGTGGCAAGAATGAGAGACAACAGATGGACAAAGTATATTGCTGAATGGTAGGCATCGAAGAAATCAGTAGGTAGAAGTAGTCATTTGAACTTCTGCAAGTCAACAAGTTCCAGCACATTTTCAGTGAAGTACTGTAGTTATAGTCTGGTCTGCGCGACATTATCAAATGTACTGTATACCAAGAAAAAGTGTTAGGCTGGTCATATGGCAGAAATGAGAGACAACAGACGCAAGAAGTACGTTACCGAATGGTAAGCGCGGAGGAAAACACTACGGAGGAAGGAATCGCTCGAAAGTCTATAGATAACATTCACGAGCCCCCCCGAACCAAACCATCCCTCGATCCCAACTGTCGATCGTTGTGCCACAGGGGTCGGTCGTTATTGCAACCGAAGGGAGTGATCGAGGGGAGGGACGGAGCGCAATGGCTCGTCCCGCACCTAAACTTCAACTCCCGCCCCTGGCATAGGTTACACGTGCATAGAGGGGAGATCACTTGGACAGGTTGGGGCTGTTTACTTGAGCGCCGAGTCTCGACCGCTCAAATTCCAAATAATTTCCCCCGTTGTCCGAGTACCGCATTTACAGTAGTGCAGTACTTGGATTCTCTCGAGCAAAGAACACCCAATGTTGTTTACTTGGACATATCTGTCTTCTATTCGGATCACTGGGGATTACTTGAACAGGTGAAGGGGCGATACTTGGATTTTCGATTTCTTGTGTATGGAGTCATGTGTATGGGAGATGCTCAGGATATAGGGTAAAGTTTTCGGCCGCACCAATGGCATGAAGGCGACGATGAAACAAATGATCAATACAACACAACGGAACAGAACAGTAGCCAAGGTGCGACTGTAGGAGCTTAGTGACAAACAGGAAAAGGAAAATGAGATGTAAGAGATGTAAAAGATTCGCAACAACACGAACAATTGTGTACTGTAAAGCCGAGAGAGAATGGAGAAACTGTCAGCTGCATCAATGGCGGGAAACAGTACGATAATCCTGTAAAACTATCAGTGCACTGTAAAACCGAAAAGACAGGATGGAGAAGTTGTCAGCTGCATCAACGGTAAGAAAGAATGCGATAACGGAACACAACTAAGGCAACAATGTTAACAATTATGCCGCGTATCTGTTCCATTGAAATTTTAGGAAAAAAAATCACTCTTGCAACATCCTGAGATACGGTCAACGTGCTTAACAGGATGAGACACCGAGCTCATAAGTGGTCGAAAAGAGACACCTTTTACTGCGCAATCGGAAACAGAAGTGATTCTCATGGCTGGGCTGATATGGACTTGTACTGCAAAAGAAACCGAAAGCAGTACCGACACTCCAAACGACCCAAGAAATTTGTGACAAATTCGATTCGATGACGGATTGCTTCTTGTACAAAAGAAAACCACCACAGTCCTGCTTTTTTTAACCCTTTGAAGACTTTTGCCACTATCAAATTCTAGTTCCTGGAGCCAATCACTGGCAGCCGAATGATGGATGAGTCTGGGCGCAAAAAAAGCGGAAGTTGCTGCTCAACAGCGGCGTTGAACTGAACAGCATCCACCTGATGCTGACAGCTGGTGGATTTATTTCGACAATGCAGAACCAATAAATAACAAGGGAAGACTCGGAGCAGAAAAACTGGACAGCATAACTAATGAGAGCAGCAGATCTGATGAAGATGCTTTTCTTTTACAGGTTAGTCTAAAAATGCCAACAAAATTGGCGAGGCGTAAGGCAAACTTATCTCGCCTCCCTCATACGGTGAAGAACTCAAAAAATTGCCCTCGATTCACTTTT